TCCCCCTCCCCCAGGCCCAGCCCTCACCTTTCCTCCAGGGCCTCCTCGACTGACTGCAGCAGGCTCCTGGGCAGGGAGGGGAAGGGCTCAGAGCTCAGCCTTTCCTGCGGCCCTCAGACCCTCCCCCACAGCTTCCCCCCTCCTCACTCACCCGCTCAGCTCCTCCTTCCCCAGCAGCGTCCACTCCTCTTCCCACTGCAGGGACCCCACGTCGGGGAGATGGGGAAAGAGACGGATGGACAATGTGAGAGGGTGATCAGGGGGTTGTGGGGGGGAGAGGAGACAAACAGACGGAAAGGGAGACAGCCCTGGCTGGCGTGGCTCAGCGGACTGAGCGCCGGCCTGCGAACTAAAGGCTTGTTGTGAGTTGGATTCCCAGTCTGGGCACACGCCTGGGTTGCAGGCTACCTCAGGTCCCCAGTAGGGGGCGCGCAAGAGGCAACCACACAGTGATGTTTCCCTCCCTCTCTTTCTCCCGCCCTTCCTCTCCGTCTAAAAGTAAATAAATAAAACCTTTAAAGTGAAAAAGGGAGACAGCAATAGGCGAGAGACTGGTGTGAGGGAAAGAGGAAGACAGGGAGAGGCGAAGAGACGGTGGGAGAGGGGCGAACAAACAGCAGAGAGACTGAGGCGGAGAGCAGGCGGGGAGAGAGGGACCGTGGGAGTGAGGAAGTGCTGACGGCAGAGCCGTGAGTCAGCCAGCCAGTGACAGACACGAGACCGCGGCCCAGGGAAACGTGCTGCACGAGCGGCCTGGGGGCTCGGGCAGGTGACAGGCCCACATTTTAGAAGGTGTGGTCACCTTGCCACCTTCCAGATGACTGTCCAGAAGGACTTGGCCCGGGAAGGAGCCCCTAGGCTGCCGCGTCCCTGGGGTGGGACCAGCTTGCCTGGACAGCTGTCCTAGGCCCAAGGGCCAGTGCTTCAAAGACCCCTGATGATCCGAGATGCCCGACCTCCGGCAGAGCGCCCCGGCCCACCCCGCACGGCGCCCCTCCCACAAAGCCAGCCCTCACCGGCTCGTTCAGCGGGTCCGTTTCCTTCCTGCGCGGGGCGCCAAACTTCACCTGGTGAACTGGGGGGCCCAGCATACACCGGTCAGGGGGAATGAAGACCCAGGACTTACCCACACACTCACATCAAGTCCCTACACGCAGCCCCCCACCAAATCCACGGACTCACACTGGATCTCCGAGGGGGTCCTCTCAGCCTGGCCGTGCTGACCCCGGGAGTGAATGGTGTCTGGAAACATGTCATAAGTCTAAGAAAGAACACAAACAGTGGACACACACCCAGCACGCGCCCCGCACCACATCCAGCGTGCTTCACACGCGTCAGCCCTCCGAGACCGAGTGGCACCCTGCTTCACAAAGGAGTGGACCAGCAGCACTCAGAGGCACGTAACTGGCCACAGGTCACACACAGAAAGCAGAACATGGATGAGCAAGGGTCACGGTCAGCCTGGGTCAAGGGCAGGAACCTATCAAAGGGGAGTGCAGAGAGGCAAGACCAGCTCAGGGAAGATTCCTAATGGGTGGTTCCCCGGGCTGGACACATTCACGTTAAAGGGCCCCTGACCTACATCGTCGTCAGACTCCCTCCAGCCGGGCCGGGCCTCGACCCAGTTCCCCAGCGGCCCTCACTTACCTCCAGGTCACAGTCGTCTGGGGACGGGGCGCCCAGGTGGGGGTCACTGGCCTTGTCCAGCAGCTGTGTGAGCAGGGCCCGAGGGAGCTGCTGCGTGGTGAACGGGTGCTGGAGGGTTGAGGAGGGCTCAGGTCGGTCTCTGGCCCGTGGGTCCCTGCTTTCCAGCACTGGGCCCCCTGCCCCACCCCCCCGTCCCACCTGTAGAAGCTTCTCTGCTGTTGGCCTCTTCTTGGGGTTCTTGGTCAAGGCCAGCTTGAGGAAGTGGTGGAAAGTCTGGGTCCTAGTGGGCACAAGAGCCCCCAGTGCCCAGACTCAGGTCAGCCCTCAGACGGAACACCCTGCCGCCTCCCCTCACACCCGCCGCCCCTCCAGAGGAGTTTGCCGGGCTTGCCCAGGAAGGGGCCAACCCGAGGCCAAGGGCAGTTGGCCTGAGCAATACTGCTGTTGCGACACGGGAGATCCTCCATCAATAACCATCTGCCCTTCTTCCCTGTCCACACCGGTCCCAGGCCTACGGCGAGGCGCAGGCCCCTCCCACCATCTGCAGAAAACCCAAGAGGTCAGGGCTCTTGAGGCTGCACCCTGGGAGCTGGCAGACGGCTCCTCTACCCGCATGAGGACTGGCCGGAAAGGGGGCCCCAGCCAGGGACGCAGGCGCTCACCAGCGAGTCTTGTCCCTCAGCTTGGGCGGCTGGAAGCTGCTCTTGGACATGAGCATCAAGGCCCTGTGGAGAGCAAAGGTCAGGGGTTGAGGGTAGGCAGGGCCTTAGGGGGCAGGCAAGGGGCAGGCATCCCGCTGACCTCATGGGGTGCAGGTGGAACAGTGGCGGCTGCAGCTCGCCCAGCTCGATGGCTGTGATGCCCAGGGCCCAGATGTCACACAGCTCGTTGTAGCCTCCTTTGCGCTCCACGGCAGCCACCTCAGGGGCCATCCTGGAGGCAAAGTCACAGAGAGGATGGCCGGGGGACCCCCGGTGGCCCCTGCCCCCTCAGCCCAAGGTGCAGCCTCACCAGTATGGAGTCCCAATGAAAGACCTCCTCTTAGCCACAGACGCCGTCAGCTCGCCCGACACCCCAAAGTCAGCTGCAGGGAGAAAAGCTACTCGCACCCGCCCTCTGGCTGCCACTCCCCACCCACCCCCAGGCTCAGGATGCACCTGGCAGAGCTCAAACAGCAGGTGGACCAAGTTCAGCTACAACTGCCAAGGCCAGGTTCCCCTCTTGGGAAGGGTCAACCACCTTCTATCGCTGACCAAACGCCAGGTCCCATGTTGAGCCGCACAGAGACCCTTCCTAACTTCTAGGAGGAAGGCAAGACCCTTCTACTCTTCTCGATGGGGACACTGAGGTCTGAGCTGTAGAGTGACTTGCCCAAGGACACCCAGCACTGGAACGCCCACTCTGCCACTCTAGGAGCTCCCACAGAACCCTCACCCTGATTGTGTTCCCCAGGTACTGACCCAGCTTGACATCGCCCTGGAGGGTGAGGAGAAGGTTGGCTCCCTGTAGGGACGGAGAAGAGCGGATCCCATCCGGTGCTCCCGAGAGCCTCCCCTCCCTCCCCCAACGCCCAAGGCCGGACCCCTACCTTGATATCTCTGTGGATCTTCCCCTGAGAATGCAAGTGGTGCAGCCCCTGGGGACAGACAGGAGCCCCTGAGAGCAGCTGCGCAGTGCCATCCCACCTTTCCTGAACCCCCTCTGAGGGCTGGGGCCCCCCACCCAAGCAGCTTCCTCCTCCCCTCTCCTCAAACAGGAAGTGACTGAGCCAAGAGGGAAATGGGCTGCTTCCGGCAACAGGGCTGGGGCCCCTTCTCCCAGGTCCCACAGCCCCTCGGGGCCGAGGCACTCCACCCCCAGCACACTGGCCAGCTGGGCTCCCTGCCCAGAGCTCCTGGGGATCGGCGCGTGAGCAGCCTTACGGGCCTAGCAGCTACCTTCAGTGCCTCTCGGCAGACACAGGCGATCTGCAGTTCCTCCAGGGGCCCGGTGGCTGAAAGGGAAGGGGTGAGGGCTGGCACGGGGGTCTGGGGACTTTATGCCGACCCTCCCAGGCCACCCTGGGTCAAGGAAGCAGCAGGCAGTCTGGAATACGGAGCCCAGAGCAGGCTAGTATTTCTCTCAAGGTCACACAGCCCGTGATGAGTAGACTTGGGCCCCAGCTCTTCCCTCCTGCCACATGTTGGGGTAGAGGGTGGGAGGAAGGCTGTAGCCCTCTGGGGCCTGGAGTCCTGGCCCTCACCATGATAAATCTCCTGCAGGGACCCCCCTCCGCAGAACTCCATGCAGATCCACAAGCGGTCATTCCTGGTGGGACACAGAGCCGGGGTGGGCACGGGGCAGGGCCACACACGGGGGCTGCCTGAGCGTGGGCAGGGAGATACAGCGGCCTCACCTGAGATAGCTGCCAATGTAGGCCACCACGTTGGGGTGGTGGCACTCACGCAGGATGGTGATTTCCTGCTGCAGGGAGCTGATGTCGTCCCCTGGGGAGCACAGGGCATCACGGGGGCAGCCTCAGAGGGATCGCCCTGACTCGGTGCCCTCATCTGCCAGCGAACACAGAGTGCTTCCTCCCTCCAAGCCAGACAGGTGCCAAGGGACGGGACCTCCCGGGGCCTGCCTCTCAGGGGGCATCGGAAATGTCAACTCTCCGCCCCTCACACCGCGCCGCCAAGCTCTCTGCCCGCCCGCCCTCCAGCGCAGAGGCCCTGGCTCCGGGCCCTCACCTGGGTCTAGCTTGACTATCTTGACCGCGGCCAGTTCGGACGTGACCGTGTCGCGGGCCTACAGGGACCGAGTGAGGGGGAAGCCGAATGAGGAGAGGGGCGGGACTGGGGGCTGGATCCCGCTGGCTCCCTCCTCGCCGCTCCCCCGCCCGTCCAGCCGCACGACGCACCTTGTAGACGTCGCCATAGGTCCCGGTCCCCACGCGCTGCAGCAGCTCAAAGCGGTCCCGCGGATCCTGCAGCGACACATCCCGCAGCAGCGCCATGGCCCGGCGCCGGGCGGGCCGGCGGACGGACGCGAGCTGCGGAGCGGAGCCGGCGCGGGCGGAGCGGGGCGGGGCAGGGCGGGCGCCGGTGGCTCAGAGGCCGCGGGGGCGGGGCCGGGGCCTGGGGCGGGGACAGGCCGGGGATGCCCCGCCGCCCGGCCGGGTGGAGGCGCCCGCGGGACAGGCCCGCGGCGGGGAGGGAAAACACCGAAGCCCCGCGGAGCCCCGCAGACCGAGCCCCTTTAGCCAGCCACCGGTTCCCTGCGTTCTACAGGTGGCAAGCCAGAAGGCGGAGGGCAGAAAGGGCGCCCTACAACCCCCCCGCCCAAATTCCCAGACGAAACACAGACATGTTTTGTTTTGTTTTTTATAAAATGTATTCATCTTCCTTGGAACTGAAAAATAAATCTATGTACAAAACAGATAGAGATAGGCTCCCCTCACCCACTCGCAAACCCCTGTGGATTTCCTCCAGGGTCCCCCGAGACGGGCCGGACCAGGGGAGGCTCCCAGAGGGTCGGAAGAGAGGTCTGCTCTGATCTGGCGCCAGTCGGTCAGGAAGGGGGCGGAGCTCAGGGCTCACGCCGGCCGAGGGCGCGGTTTCGTATCCCGTATCCCGGACTAGTGGGATAGCGAGGGGAGGAAGCTAGGGTTCCAACTTCTGTAAACGCCCCGTAACTACTTTGGGGTAGGGGCTTGAATTCCCAAGGGATGGAATTCTCCAGCGTGTAAATGTTCTCCGAGCGGGGCGCTTGGTCCCCGGGCGGGAGGCGGGACCTGCGCGTCTATCTAGGGTTTAGGGCGACACTGGAGCCCCACGGGCCGAGAAAAACACGGGTCAGGTTAGAGAGCCTGGGTTCTCGGGTGGGGCCCGAGTTTCCCGTGCTTGGACCTTTAACGTCTGGTGATGGGGCCCAGGGTGAGGTTTCAACTGGCCGACCGGGACACTGGAGAATGGCATCTATATACTCCAGTGTCGAGCGCCGCCAGGGTGAGTCTGACACCCGGGCCGAGCCTCGATTCCGGGTGGGGGTGGGGCCGGGAGGCCGGGCCTAGGCCCATTGGTCGCCTGGGCTGGCGGGGGTGCTGGGGTGGAGCCTGGTCTGGACTGAGGAGTGCTAGGGTAGTTCACAGGCCCTTACGCTGCCGCTTAAGGAAGGAGAGAGTGTAGTCGCTGGGTGTAGACACCTTCTGCTTCTTCATCTGCACTTGCGACTGCGCAGTGAGCTGCAGCTTGATGGCGCTCGAGTTGATCTTGGTGGCCACCAGCAGCTCCTTCATGCCCTTCATCTTCTCGCTCTGGAAAGTGAGCACCGGCCCCTCTGGTGGGGGCGATGCGGCAGGCGCAGGCGCTGGGGCCGCGCTGCCGCCTTCAGGACCGCGGGCAGTGCTCGGGACCGTCCCTGGGGGCTTCCGGGGCGGCCCTGGCGCCACGCTCTGCCCGGCACCGGGGCCTTTGTCCAGCGCCGGCTTCTTGGGCGGCGGCGGCTCCTCGGGCTTGGATTCCCGGCGGGGACCCCGCCGCCGGCCTTCCCGGGCCTCCTCGCCCCAGGGCTCCTCCGCCTCGGCTGCCTCCGACTCCCGGCTCACTATTCGCACCTTCTGCCGCACCTGGGGCGAACAGGGAACGCAGGATGAGGGAAAGGCTGCAGCCCAGTGGCTGCATTCCTAGGGCCCAGCCTCAGCCACCATGTTGGGGCCTCGGTCTCATCCGCATCCAGGGAATGAGCAAGTCCCCTTCAGGGTCGCTACCACCATCTACCCTCCCCAGTCCCCCTGCGCAGCTGCCCCTCACCTGTCCTTCGAAGCGGCCTAGGGACTGCACGAGGAAGGTGGCCCAGCCCACGTGCAGCACCGGCGTGGGGCTGCCCTCTTCCCACTTGCAGATGCCGTCGTAGAAACGCAGCAGGTGGGCGAAGCACTCTGGGTCCTGGAGGGCAGACCCCTGGCTCTGGGAGCCCTGGGTGGGGGGGGAAGGGAGGGCACAGGTCAGAACCCCTTGCATACCCCTTCCTGGGGGGGCCGGCCAGGCCCCTTGTCTCGTCCAAGAGCCCTGGCTCCTGAAGATGTGACCATAGGTGGAGAGAATTCTTAGAACCCTCTTCCTTTTCTAAAACCGGCCAGACTCAGAGAAAATGGGAGACCGTCCCTTACCTCCACCCCACCCCCTCAGCTGAGTAAGGAGCCCTGGCCAGGAAAGAGATGGGCTTCCCCCTACGTACCTGAAGGCACAGGGTAGAAAGCCCTAAAACACCCCCCCCGTTCCCTCACACCCAGGACCCGGGCTAGTGAGGGGCAGAACAGGGCTGTGTGTGCCGGGCCACCCTCCTCTGCGGCCCACAGTCCCGGGCAGCAGCCCCCACGCCCTGTGCGTGGGAGCCGTGATCGAAGGGAGGCGGACACAGGTGGCGCTCCAGCCTTCACCTGGGTCTGCTCCCCTGGCCGCTCCTCGCCGGCCTCCAGCAGGCTGGCCGCCTCCTTCAGCAGGTTGGGGATGACATCATTGGCCACTTCAAAGAACTCCTTGTAGATCTCCTCGTCTTCCCGGCAGTAGTTGTAGCTGTGAGAGCAGTAGGGCACTGTGGGGCCCTGGCCGTGGTGGGCATGCCCAGGGACCTGGTGGGGGGTGGGCTCCAGGTTTCTTTCCCTGGATCATCTAGGGCCCAGGCGAGTGGCTGCGGTCCTCACCCGGAAATGACGGTGTCTGTGTCAGCCCAGAGCAAGAGTGAGGACGGGGGCGTGGGGCAGGGGGGGCAGGCTCTACTGCCAGATGATGGTGGTTGGCACTGGGAGGCAAGGGGAGGGAGGGAGAGGCATGAGACCCTCATCAGGGTCCCCACCTCCTGGGTGATGGCAGCCTTGGCTGCCTAGGGGTCAGAGGAAGGGATGGGGCTTGAGCCCCAGGCCTCGCTCCTGGACAAGGGTGACCGGAAACTGGGCAGAAGGGGAGGAAAGAATGGGCTGAGGCCCTAGCTGGGGGGATCCTCACTCTTGGATGACAGTGGCCGTGTCAGCCCAGGCCTGCAGGGCTTCGCGCACATTGCGGTTGCGACAGTGGTAGCCGGCCAGGTACATGTAGGGGTAGATGTGCTCGTCACGGTAGTAAGTCTTGGCTGAGGCGATGCCCTGGGAACAGAGCGAAGGGGCCTCAGGGAGGCAGCCCCCGGCTGCACCGTTTGGCACGAATGTCCCATCAGATCACACCCGAGGTGAAACAGGCAAGATCCCTGAGAGTCCCACCTCCACACCCTTGTGTACCCTCCAGCAGGGCGCCTCCCTGGGTCTGCAGGACTGCTTGCTGAGGCCTGCGCCGGAATGCAGACGGTGGGGACCCCCCCAGAACAAGAACTGGGGAAGGGAAGAGGCCCCTCCTCCAAGCTCCGGGCACATCCCTTTCCTGGGCTCTCCCACACACTCCTACACACACACACACACACACACACACCCCGAAGCCTTCCAAACCCAGCCTGATGTCCCTTTAACCCCACCCCCACCAAGTTACCACCCCTTCCTCAGTGCCCCCACATTCGACCTCTGTCATCCACCACGAAGGACAATGAGAGGCCCCGGAAAAAGCAGGGCTGAAGGGGCAAATCCAGGCCACACCACCCCCAGAACACCCCTCAGGCAGTGCTGAATGTGTACATGGCAAATGCAAATACACCCAGGGTTCTCTCACTTGCCCCCTCCCAGTTCCCAGGTAAACCCCCGGCACTGCTGGGTCTCCCCTGGGGACCCTCCTGAGATGTCCCCACCTTGTGGTAGAGGGTGAGTGGGTCCGGCCGGCCAGGGGTGGGCTCCAGCTCTTCCAGATCCGCCAGGTTCCCCAGCGCCATGGGGTACCTGGGAAAAGGCCACAGAGTCCGGGCTGTCACCTAGCCTCCCAACCCCCGAAGGCCCAGCCTGGCCGCTTCCCTCTACTGACCTTTCCAGATGTCCCAGGTCATAGAGCAGCCAGAGCAGCTTCTAGAAGCCAAAAGAGAGAAGTATGAACTAGGGGAGGGAGGGGGGAGAAGTCCTCAGTCTGCCAGCCAGAGGTGGGTGCAACAGCAGGGGCCTCCCACCAGGTGGGAAAGGCCAGATCTTAGGACCTAGCCTCTTGTTGGGGTCAAAGCCCTGTCGCATCTCAATACCCCTCCCCCCAGAGCCCCGGGCCAGGACCAGCCAGGAGTCGTGTGTTAACCATGTTGCAAAAGGGGAAGCTGAAGCCCAGGGAGGGACAGCACCCCCGCGCGAGGTCCCGCGGGCACACCTCACCTGCTGCAGCTGCAGCAGCTCCAGGGAGTCGGTGTGCAGGTCGATGGAAGGGTTGATGGCGCACACCATGAACGCCACCTCCATCTTGCGGTCGCAGCGCATGTAGGATCCCTTCAGGTACAGCCAGCTCTTAGGAGAGGACAAGACCAGATGTCTCATGGTGAGCTACCTGTGCCCACTCCAGGGAGTGACAGCCAGGGAAAAAGGCCCTTCTGCGTCCCCTCCTGACATATGTAAGTGGTGATGGGGAGAGGGGAGTGTGGCCCAGGCAAGCGCGGCCCCTGGGGTGGTTTCGGCTGGAGTGTGAAGGGAGCGGGGGAAGGGGCAGTACCCGCTCAGCCACGCCCGCATTGACGGTCTGGCCCCTCCGGTCCTCATTGCCCTTGCCATGCCAGGTGACCTCAGCTGTCTGCTCTCCATTGGGCCCAAACACAACCCAGGCGTGGTCCTCAGACAGGGCGAGGTGGACATCCCGGAGACCCAGAGCCTGGCAGGCCCCCACCACGGCAAAGGCCACACCAGAGCTGTCCAGTTTGGTGCCTGTGGAAGGGGGAGCTAATGAAAGAGGGCCCTCTGAGCTGGGGGGCCTGGGGGAGGGGTCTCGGCAGTGACAGGCAGTGTTCCCTCCCACCCTCACCTCCTAGCCCGAGCCCAGATCTCAGTAGCTCCCCCACCACCTCTGCGACCCCTCCCTCCTGTGTGTTCAGAGCCCCGCCCTCCCCGTTTACACCCCCATCAGCGCACCTTCCCAGACCTTCCTAGGTCCACCCGGCCTTTCACTCTGTCCTGTCTCTTTGTCTGCAATCATCTTATATATTTATCTTAAGAATGCCCTCACTTTATTACGCCCATCAGGTTATAACAGAGTGGGCAGAAACAGGGCCTCTGGCCAACACTCTTTTCCATGCGCCCACTGGCTAACACTCCTAATTCGCCTCTGCACTCTTTTCCCGCTAAGCTCAGAAGCAGCCTCAGGTTCCTTCTCAATATGGTGCTCCGGACATGCCTGCTAGGCAACTGGGCGTGGGGCAAAGACGGATCCTCGCCAGCCCTGAGACGAAAGCCATCACTTGAGGTGAAGCCCTTAGTCTGTTCCCTTTCAAAGCGTTTTCACAGATATTTCATTTTATTGTCTCAAATGTAGCTAGATTTGGCTCCTCACCCCCCAAATCTGCGGCAGTCCTCTGTGCCCCACGCTGGGCTGCAGGACTCCTATAAGCCGCTCAATGGCAGGGCTGGGGGCTGGGGGCGGGGCGCTAAGGGGACAGAGGATGGTTAATGGGTTTGGAGCCAAGTGATTGGGATCTAGTCCCAGCCTTGCCGTTCCGTGTGACTCTGGCGCATCACTGTCCCTCTCTGGGCCTCAGTCTCCCTAACCGCATAGGTTAGTTAACACCTGCCCCACCTCACAAAGCCTGCAGGTCTCAAAAGGGCTCTGCAAACCGAGTGCTGTGAAGAGGTGGGCCAAGGTCGTCAGCTGGGACAGGATTATCCCTCCTCGCCACCTGTGAGGCTCCAACCTGTGATGAAGCTGAAGAGGGACTGGATGTGGGCCCGGTCCTTGAAGTAGGAGCGGCTGAGGCTGTTCCAGATGACGTCCGAGACCTTCTTCACCAGCTCGCGGCTGGAGACACCCCCCTCTCGAGGGTATAGAGACAGGTCCACGGCACCTCGGATCTGAGCGGTGAAGCGGGCATAGAGCGCAGCGATGATGGATAAGTCAGCCACTGGGAAGTAGGTGAGGCCGCCAGGAGGGTCGGGCGCAGGGCTGGGCTGGAAGGTGAGCTCGGGCACATTGGTGGGGATGACGCGGTTGACGGCTAGGAAATGCTCCACGAAGCCCAGTACTAAGGACAGGAGCACCAGGTCGGGCTCCTCTCGGCCTAGCTCGGCTGCGAACAGGCGCACCACATCGTCGATGGAGCGTAGCGGGAACAGGGTCTTCTGGGCGGCCTTCAGCCCCATGGCGGCGGTCCTCGGCCTGTGGGCGAGCCAGGGAGGGAGAGTTGGGCGGGCACGGCAGGGGAGACCCCTCCCAGGCTCTGCTAAGGTTCCACTCCTCCCCCCGCCACACACACACACAATCCCTTGCTTCCTATCTCCTTCACCCTCCGCACATCTGTTCCTGTGCCGATGAGACCCCCTCAGCCGAGGCTGTAGGGCCTCCTCGTCCCCTAAGACCCCAGGAGCCCCGGCCCCTGTGGGGTTGCGCCCCTAGATCCGCGCTGAGGACCGCCAGTGGCCGTCCCGCTCCCTCTCTACGACTGTTCCCCCAGGCCCTAGAGTCCGTCCGAGAGGTACCCTCTGGCCAAGCCCCCCAAATCCCAAGGAGAGTCCTGGTCTCAATCCCCCGCGCCCACCTCCACGCTTACATCCCACACCAGGCACGGCGGCGCCCGCCGCCCGGAGCCTGCTGGGAAATGGAGTTCCGCCCCTCGGGCCGCACTGCCTGCCGGGAAGTGGAATCCCGGCCCTCCCCAGCCCCTGCAGAACCTTGAAATGGTGGCGCGCGGCGCCAGTCCACTGAGGCTTATGGGAGTGGTAGTCGCTGCTCTGGGCGCCGCAGAGGTAGGTGAGGAGGGGAGGCAGCGCCCCCTTTCTGAGGTCCTCAGGGATTGGTCATTCCCTTTCACACAACCAGGTGGCCGATGAGCCGCAGTGCATTCTGGAAGGTGTGGTCCGGAAAGTGACCCGGCACCTTCAGAAGGTCAGTGGGCTTCTGTAGGTTATCATGTGTCCGTAAGATGTGAAGAAAATGGGTTCTTTCAAATGCTGCTGCCGTATAAATACGTGTTCAGTCACCTGAGTTGGACATTTTTCAGAATCTATTAACAGGTAAATGTGCCTAATCTATGTCTAGCAGGTCTTCCCGTGAGATGCACAGAGGAGCGTGGGAAGAACCACCGCAGCCCTGGCTGGTGTGGCTCAGTGGGTTGGGCGGAGTCCCGCAAACCAGGTCATGGGTTCAGGTACTGGTCAGGGCACTTGCCTGGGTTGCCCCCGGGTAGGGGCGTGGGAGGGGGGACTTCTCCCTCCCCACCTCTTTAAAAATAAATAAAATATTTAAAATATATATTAACAAAAAATTACAATAAAAAATAAAAGCATACAAAAATAAAAATAAAGTTACATTTGAAAAAAATTGAGAACCATTGCAGTTATTTGTAATAGGGTAAAAGTTAGAAGAACGCCATAGCTCTATGTGCTAAAATCGCTCTTCAGGACACCCTGTTGAAGGAAAAAAAAGCTGCAGAACAACATGTTTGATAGGATAGTGTGTGTAATTAACACTTTATTTTATTGTATTTTTTTGTGACTCCAGCTAAGTTCACTTTTGGCCCCAGGTCAGCTCTCCAAAGGGTTTCCCAGCCAGTCCCTTCACAGCCTTCTTCCTCCGGGGGACCTGCCATCACCCCAACCCTTGACTTCTGGTACCACCCGCTGCTGCCACTTTGGCGCCAGTCTCTGTCCCACAGCCTCGACCAGGAGCTCAAAGCATAGCTACTCGTTTGAAGATACCCACAGGCTTGGCAGGAACCACTACGCCCTCGGGCAGCCCGGGTGACGGATCCACAGCCTCCAAGTTGTTGGGGTGGGGCATGCAGACCTCCTTAGTGTAGCCAATGACCCCTGCCTCCTGGGCATACAGATACTTCTGCCCCAGCCCCACATGGGCAGCTGGGTGCCAGCAAACATGGGTCCCAAGGACGTTGCTGGTGTGAACGTAGTGACCCTCCATTTTCTTGACGTCAAAGTGAGGCAGGAGATGGTCAGGAGGCAGGAACCTCCGGAGGTGCCCCAGGGCTACGATAAAGGATGTCGATACAGGACAGAGACTCTGTTCCAAGACCCGTTGTTCCGGCTTTCTGCAAAAGCTCTCAATCATGCATGGCGTCATATGAATGGGCCTGCGCAGAAGATGCTACGTGACCCCTGCTCCATTATAATAGCATTATAATAAATTAACACCGTGGGACCCCCTTCCCCAGTGGCCAATCAAGGAAAATCATGGGAGACCACGTGTGCAGTAGCTTTAAAGTAATACAGCTACTTGTACATGCGCAATAAAAGCCCATCAAAACCAGCCAGGAATATCTGCCCTATAAGAATAGAATCCCTCCAGCCCCTGAGGTCAATCTCTGCTTGGAGTCAGCCCACACCCATGTTCTGTGGAGTGTACTATCGCTTAATAAACTTGCTTTCTGTCTTTCTGCTACAAATTCCGCATGCTTGATTCAAATCTTTGTCCGCAACCACCAAGAACCTGGTTACCTGTGCCCATCTGTGGCATCACTTTCTCCCGCCTTTCCCCTTCCTCTAAAAATAAATAAATAAGCTCTTTAAAAAAATTAAACGTCCAATTTCTGCCCTACTTCACCTCTGTGGGTTTTCTTCCTCAAAATCATGAGAAGACATCCAGCAAACCCAAAGTGAGGGACATTCTGTAAAATACCTGACCAGTACTCCTCAAAAGTGTCAAGGTCATGAAAGAAAAGGAAAGGCTGACTTCTGGCCAAGATGGAGGCATAGGTAGATATACTTTGCTTCCTCACACAGCCAAAGGAAGGACTACAAATTAAAAACAAAAACTAACCAGAAGTGCCAGGAAATCGAACTGTTTGGAAGACCAGCTACCAAAGAGTTAAAGAAACATTCACCCAGCCTGGTAGGAGGGGCGGAGACAGGCAGCTGGGGTACAGAAGACTTGCAACAAGGCAGCAGCTGGCAGAGTGGGCAGTCCTGAATTTCACGTGCAGATAAGCCGGGAGGAACAACTTGGGGAACCAGGGTTTCAATATGGGAAACTAAACCCTCAAAACCTTAGGCTGTAAAAACCTGTGGAGGTTGCGGTGGCAGGAAAAACTCCCAGCCTCACAGGAGAGTTCATTGGAGAGACCCACACGGTCCCAGAATGTACACTCACCTGGCCCCCTCACCTGGCCGTCAGCAACAGAAGGGCCCAGTTTGCTTGTGGGTAGTGGGGGAAGTGACTGAAAGTGGGGCAGGAGCCCAGCAAGCAGGATTGTTCCCTCTCTGACCCCCACACACACACACACATACAGCATCACAAGGCAGCAACGTGGATTGCCCTGCCCTCGGCTCCTCCCCTTACAATGTAACAGGTGCGCCCAGACAAAGAATATGGCCCAAATGAAAGAACGGATCAAAATACCAGAAACAAGTCCTGGGTAGTGTCGCTCAGTGGATTGAATGCTGGCCTGCAGACCAGCAGGTTGCTGGTTTGAGTCCCAGTCAGGGCACATGCCTGAGTTGCAAGCAGGGTCCCCAGTAGGGGGCATGTGAGAGACACCCACACATTGGTGTTTCTCTCCCTTCCCCTCTGTCTAAAAACAAATAAATAAAATCTTTTTTAAAAGAATTAATGGAATGGAATATAAGGATGGAATAAATGACCACTAATGTCCTGTGTGTGTGAATGAAAGCAAATGAAGTATCTGTATTATATACATATATGTGTGTCTATAAAACAATACTCAAAGCTATGTCCACAAACACCATGCCATGGAAATTCATTTGTTTGTAAATTAAAAACAAACAAACAAACAAACAAAAAAACCCTCCAGCCCTGGCTGGTGTGGCTCAGTGGATTGAGCACCAGCCCACAAACCAAAGCATCGCAGGTTTGATTCCCAGTCAGGGCACATGCCTGGGTTGCAGGCCAGGTCCCCAGTAGGAAGCACATGAGGAGCAACCACACATGAATGTTTCTCTCCCTCTCTATCTCTCTCCCTTCCCCTCTCTCTAAAAAAAAAAATATTTTTTTAAACCTCCATAAAAAGAACTAAGCAACCAGGAGATAGCCAACCTATCAGATGCAGAGTTCAAAACACTGGTAATCAGGATGCTCACAGAAATGACTGAGTACGGTCACAAAATAGAAGAAGAAGTGAAGGCTATACAAAGTGAAATAAAGGAAAATGTACAAGGAACCAACCAACACTGATGGGAAGGAAGCCAGTTCTCAAATCAATGATTTAGCACAAAAGGAAGAAAGAAACATTTAACTGGAACAGAATGAAGAAACAAGAATTCAAAAAAAAATGAAGAGAGGCTTAGGAACCTCCCGGACAACTTTAAACATTCCAACATCTGAATCATAGGGGTGCCAGAAGGAGAAGAAGAAGAGCAAGAAATTGAAAACTTATTTGAAAATGTAATGAAAGAGAACTTCCCCAATCTGGCGAAGAAAATAGACTTCCAGAAAGTCCAGGAAGCTCAGAGAGTCCCAAAGAAGTTGGACTTATGGAAGCACACACAAAAGCATATCATAATTACCTTAGCCAACCTTAAAGGTAAGGAGAGAATCTTAAAAGCAGCGAGAGAAAAGGAGACAGTTACCTACAAAGGAGGGCTCATAAGACTATCAGCTGATTTCTCAAAAGAAACCTTACAAGCAAGAAGGGGCTGGAAAGGAGTATTCCAAGTCATGAAAGGCAAGGATTAATCTGTCAAGCAAAGCTATGATTTAGAATGGAAGGGCAGATAAAGTGCTTCCTAGGTAAGGTCAAGTTAAAGAAGTTCATTATCACCAAAACCTTATTATATGAAATGTTAAAGGGACTTATTTAAGAAAAACAAGAAGATCAAAACTATGAACAGTAAAATGACAACAAACTCACAACTATCAACTGAACCTAAAAAACAACAACAAAAACCAACTAAGCAAATAACTACAACAGGAACAGAATCACAGAAATGGAGATAACATGGAGGGTTATCATTGGGGAGGGGGAGAGGGAGAATGGGGAAAAGGTACAGGGAATAAGAAGCATAACTGGTAGGTACAAAATAGAGGGAAGTTAAGAATAGTAGAGGAAATGGAGAAGCCAAAGAACTTATATATATGACCCATGGACATGAAGTAAGGTGGGGGGCATGCTGGTGGGAGGGTGGATGCAGGGTGAAGGGGGAGAAAGGGGAAAAAAATGGAACAAATGTAGTAGCATAATCAATAAAATATACTAAAAAAAAGAAAAGGAAAGACGGAGAACTGTTGCAGATGATAAGAAACTAAGGAGGCAGGACAACTAAATACAATGTGGTGGACTGAACCCTGGAACAGAAAAAGCCCAGTAATGGAAAAGCTGGTAAATAGGATGGCTGATGGTCCCAGGTTGTCCAAGACTGAGGGGACCTCAGGGGAATGGAACTTTCCGTTTTAAAACCAAACCAATCAAGTCTTGGACACCAAGGAGCCCTACTTGTGAAATTCAAATAAAGTTTGTAGCTTCATTCATAATTTTCATCAATTAGTTATATGTACAAAAGAGTTTATTTGAGCCAAATTAATGAGCTATGCCGGGGCGCAAGATCGCTCATGCTCCCTCGTTGCTCTTGTTTAGTAGGAGAGGGTCGGAGGACTGCCAGCCTTGACCCGATGGAGGGAACGGGAGATCCTGAGTGAGGGCTGTGGCCTTTGCTAGGAGCGTGAGTGGTTCCTCCCCAGTAACCAAACAGAGACAGG